TACTCTCACCAAGCTGACCCACAACTCCAGAAAACTTTTCCCTTTTAATTTTAATTTAATTCAAAATAAATAATATATTTAAACAAATGAATGGATTTTTTTGTAATGGAAGTAGTACCCCATAGTTTAGGTCAGTAATCCTCATTTAAAACAAATTCTATTTATAAAAATGGATACAGGTAGATAGTTTTTTTAGTTTTATTTGTTTCTTGGTTTTTGTTTGTTACTTGACACTAAGTTTCAGTCCCAGTCGGCCTATAATTCTAGATCTTCCTGCCCTGCCTTTGCCTATGGGTATTAATAAATTTTAATAAAACAATTACTGTAGTTTCACAGAAAGAACAGGGGCCAGATTCACAAGCTATGATTTAGGAAAGATATAACAAAGAATATACCATTCAGTATCATCTATATGAAGTTCCAAAATAGGCAGGACTAATTGATATCAATATACTAGCCACAGTTTAGGAACATTTCTGTGAATGGGCAAAAGGGTGATAGGAAACTATATGTTGTTCTAGGTAGTATAATGTGTACATATATAAACATCACTTAAGTGCTTGAGATTGGTGGCTTGACTAATGTATGACACACACTAAAAAAACCCTAACATAGGTAGCATCACCTCCCACATCTCCTCGGCAGGAATCTGGGTCCTTATGAGTAACCTGTCTGAGTCACTCAGTCTCCCATCAGCCCTGCCTGGGTCAGAGTCTATGAGTCTGGACATCTTTGAGCCTGTGGCCATGAAGCCAGGAAAATCGAAGATGGCTAGAAAACTTGTAATTAAAAAAAAATCCGGACAAAACCTTAAAGATCTAATTGGAGTATTCTGTAAGGTGTATCAAATATGCTCTCCTGATCAAGAATGCTGTGTAGATGTGGTCAATATGAACTGTACAGCTCTATACTGCTAAGAGTTATCGTCTCAAGAAAAATAGAAAATATCAGACCTGTACGGCAACTCACACCATCCAGAAGTCACTTTTTGATGCTGTTGTTAATCTCTTGGTAGATGGCCTCATTTGTGACAAGAACAGTCTTTTGTTTCTATAAGTTATGGTTGGAAGTGGAAAAGCTCATACAATGACAAGTTCTCTAGGGAATAAAGGACTGCTTCTTCATTGTTTGGACAAAAGTTTGTAACATGGTAATTTCAAGCAAAATGTTACATTTTAAATCTAATGATAGGAACAGTATAAACATACAATGCAAAAATGATGCCATGGAATATTTGAGAACAGAAGCCCTACCCATTCCAAAGATTCCCTCTAGCAAGCAACAGGTAGATCCAGAGTTTGAAGATTACAGTAAATATACAAGAATTATGCAAAGCAAAAGTTAACAAATACCGTGTCTATGGCATATTTGCCTCTTACATTGGAATCTATAATAATTACAAATGATCTGTGGAAGAAATTTGATCCCATAACGCCCAAATGGCTGCAGTACCACTATAAGAACACAGAGTCTGCACTCTCACAGTGTAAATGTTCCAAGAAGAACCACAATATATATGTTTTAGGGTGAACAGAACTAGAAAGAGCCATTTGAAGGCTTTCTCAGAGGTCAAAAAACAAGATACGTTGCCAATGTATAGTCTACTGTTTTCCACTCAGCATTAAACTAGTCCAAGCTACCCCAGATGCCAAGAGAGACATGTTACAGGAAAAAGAACAAATGATTATCAGCCAGTGGTCTCTGGTGAATCTTTCTGGATGCGACAAAACTAACCAGACCGAAGCAAATGGTAAGAGATTAAATGAAGGTGGAAACATTAATCAGTCAGTGGTGATGCTAAGAAAATAATGAAGTCCTGAAAAGAACCAACTGTATGGGACTAACAAGATTGCTGCAAATCAAGATTCAAAGTTACCCATCTGTTCAATGAGGGAAGGACGGGAAAGCTGATTGTGTATGAATACAAAGGCTGAGGACTATGAAGAAAGCTTCCAAGTCATGAGATTTGCTGAAGTAACCCAGGAGGTTACGTAGTAAGACCAGTAGACAAGATGGTATGTGGGTTGATATCAGAAGGCAAAGCACAAACCTGATTAGGGAGGGTGATTGGTTGGAGATGAGCCACTGGTGCCTGAAATGATTCTATAGTTTCTTGTCATTGCCCCTGTGCAAATTTTTGGATACCAACCAGAGACCCTTCCAAAAGTGATAGAAGTTTTAGAGAAATGACAACTATGACAACTGATGACCAAGGAGCTTAGCAAACAATGCATTATTTTCAAGGCATTATAAAAGTATTTGACAAAGCTGGTCTCAGACCTTAAATCAGAAATAGAATGACTGGAGAAGAAAAACAAAACTTTGAAGTACAAGAGTGAGGTTTTAGAGAAAAAACTATGATCTGTGAAGACAATAAGTATGATCTGCAGCAGAAACCTGAAAGGCAGAGTAAGAAGCTTCAGTGAAAGTCTTCTGACAAGCGCACATGAGGATGAGGTTCTAAGACATGCTAACAGATCAAGTGTCAGGAGGATTGTGAGCACCAGGGAGCAGCTAGCCAGCTGGAAAATAAACTCTGTGTCAAGGATGAAAAGCTCAAGCAGTTGAAGGTCACAGTAACTGAACCCAAACCTAAGAAGCCAGAAACACTCCCAAGAGTGCAGCCAAGAGAAATGTTCAGAGATCAGTATCTCCATCACCCATGGCTAATACACTAATTTCAGTCAAACACAGAGAGTCTTACTCTGCAGACTCTGCAGGGATCATACAGGTAGATCCTAAGTCTTCCTCTAATGTGCCAAGTGGAATGGTCATGCAGTCACACATCACTCACATCACCACAGTGTCCGCTGCAAATGAAAAGTCTAGCTAACTGTGAAGAGTCCATGCTGACCCACTAGGTACTAGCCTCCAATGGGGAGATTCAGACTAAAGTCATTAAGAGTGATTTTAACAAGCTGTTGGGCAATCTGTTCAGTTTATTGATGTTGAGACTTTAAAATAAGAATCACCAATCAGTAGACAAAAACAAAGACCACCCACAGTGACACCACCTCAACCAGAAGGTACAGAGTCTGAATGGACCTATGTGGAAACAAGGTGTTCTCTGGCTCTGGAGATGAGAGTAGGATCTCAGCTGGGATCCCAATACCAGTATTGTGCACAACCCAAGTGGAAAAGGCCTTGAACTAACAGCCCCAGTATTAGAATCTCTTCGTTCATGTTGCTATTTCTCCAAAGCAGTGTCAGAAGCAGTGTGTGAGTCATTTTACAGAAGAATGTATCTAGAGAACATTGAATTTTTTGACTTTTCCAACTGTTCTAAATATTTTCTAGGTTTCTTAAATGCTGCTATTGATTGGTTGCAAAACAGTATCTTAAACATATCTAACAATTAAGATTTTCAAAATGAAGATGGTGACTATGCAATCTTTCCTGAGCATACTAACAGATGTTTAACAAGCATGACTTTCACATTCCTTAGTAGCTTTAGACACTTTGTATAATAGAGAGAATTCAAAAATATCATCGTAGTTCAAGAACTGCCTAATAGAAAATTACAAACATATTTATATTATAATCATTTTAATAAAATTATAAAATTTCAATACACAATGATTATAGGTAAATAAATAATATATTCCTAAAACTTCATAAATGGTTTATTAATACAATATTAACCACTTACATGATATAGACATTGATCTATGTTTTCTAAAACATTTAATAATCACTGATGAATTTTTGTCTCAAATTAGTAACAAAATATTATAACCGCTTTTTTTCTTTTTTTTATTGGATATTTTATTTATTTACATTTCTTTTTTTCTTTTTTTTTTTTGTTTTTTTTTGGTTTTTTCAAGACAGGGTTTCTCTGTGTAGCCCTGGCTGTCCTGGAACTCACTCTGTAGACCGGGCTGGCCTCGAACTCAGAGATCCACCTGCCTCTGCCTCCCAAGTTCTGGGATTAAAGGCGTGTACCATCACCACCCAGCTATTTATTTACATTTCAGATGTCATCCCATTTCCCCATTTCCCTTCCCTAGAACCCACTATCCCATCCCCCTCCTCCTTTTTGCTTTTATACCATTTTGATTACACCCATGTATTAAGGTCAGTTTTAGATTGAGGGACTAGCAATACAATAGATGCAAATAGTCAAGGAACAAGCAAGACAATAAACACAAATAGTCAAAGAACAAGCAAGGCATTACACTCAATTACATGAACACTTCCATGATCACTGTTTCTAAGGGCTTATCAGGATGGCCAAAATATCTGAGCCTACTTCCCTGTCGTAGCTCAAAGCCATTTTCATGTCTGAAGCCTAATTTCTTGTTCTAGCCTAAGATTTAGATTCCTGCCTGAAATGACTTCTTTGTTCTATTTTATGTGTATGTGTGCATATGCCTATGTGTGTCTACATGTACATGTAGGTGCTCACAGAGGCCAAATGAGGGCATCAGATCTCTTAGAGGTAGAGTTAAAGGCGGTTGTGAGCCGCACACTATGGCTGCTCAAAAACAATTCTGGTTCTCTACATTTCGTGCTATTAACTAGAGAACTACATCTGGAGTACCTTGTTATAATTTCTTAAACTTTTTGAAATATGTTTTATTCATTTATGGTATGTGTGCACACTTAGCTGTGTATCTGCCATGGCATATGAGTGCGGGCTAGAGGACAATTTGAGAAAGCCAATTTTCTCCTTCCACCATGTCAGTCTCAGGGATCAAACTGAGCATGACAGGTTTAGCTGCATATGCCTTTATTGTATGAACTATCTATCTCACCAGCACAAAATACTGTAACTTTTTTTGTATGAAAATTATATAAGTGATAGCAAAAATCTTGTCTGTATAGTTATTAATATATGTACTAAGATAATTAAATACCTGCTTATTATATTAATATAGACATTAAGTACTAAGCATGGTTCTAAATAGCTATACAAACACACCCAAGTAAGGAACCCATAATAAAAGAGCTCATCCTAGGTAATCAATTAATAATTGTACAAGGACACCAGTCAGGCTTACCACTTCTTCATCTGAGAGTTCACGCCCCTGGATGCTGCTATTCTCTCTCACCACTTGCTGATGTTTTTTCCCTTTAATGTGGCTAAAGAGATATACTTCAGAAGAGATCTAAAAGCACAAAATCAAATCCACAGCAATCAACATACCACTGCATCCAGTGCTAAGAACTAAACATTCAATCTATTACATTATATACAAATACAGATCACTCTAGGATAGACAGACAGACAGACAGACCCATCGATCGACTGATCAAAATATTTTCCTTAGAATTCAATTCTCAGAGTATGTTTAAAGATTTGAACAACATTGAAACCCTAGTTTTTGGGTTTTGGTCCCAATCCGTTAAAATATTGGTTTAGTCTACCATTAAGCTGGTAAACAAACATTTTAGTACCAACTGCAAACATTGGCACTTTGCACTGGCATTCCTAACTGCTATTCTGAGTACTTACTTTTCATTTAAAATCCTCATAGAAGTCAATAGCACTTAGTAGATGCCTTAGCACAAGATTTAAAAGGCTGGAAGCCTTTTAATAAATTTTAGCAATAAATTATATCACCAGACTGTTAATAAAGACAACCACCTACCAGGACATTGCAGAGAGAACACTGCTTCTTTCTTTCATAAGGGGTCAGTTTAGGGGCGTAATCAGTGCTTGCATGCCGCCCACTGCTTAACTCAGCAGCTTTTTCTTTCCTTTGCTCAATCTGTTCCATGTGCCTTCGAATGCTTTCATCATGCTGGAGACAGGATCATGGTGTGAGAAACTTAAAAAGTATTCAGATTAACTAAGAACTTGGAAAAAGACTTTCCATTAAAACTTTTAAAATAATTCAAAAGTGCCTTGTTTTGATACTAACTTTCACACTAAAGAACAAAGCTTAATTTTTTAACATATCACAAGTGGACAATATTGCTTCTTAAGATGTGCCCTAGGGGAGGTTAGTATATGCTTTAGGAGAATACACAAATTTGGAAAACAGTAAGTTACAGATGACCAGATTTTTAACACAGAACTTCATACATCCACTGTGACACTGTGCTTAGTGACTCAACACTACTGGCTACTCAGAGGTAGAATCTGACAAAGACCTACATCTACCCCAGCCCTATTACTACTTTTTCACCTCAAGCCACTAACTGAGGAAAATCTTTTTGGGTTTCATGCTATTTTGTATAACCAGAACACATCTTACGCAACTGTATTTTCTACATTCAACTAATCTTTTAAGATTAATGTATTATTCTCCCTGATCTTTGATATGCCAAGCATCTTCCTCTATCCTACATTCCACATAACCCTACCTCTATCATGCAAAAGTTAACCAACTCATATCTGAATCTCACACTAGATTAGGCACTTCCTAAAAATGGGAAGACTATCTTATAAATATTTGCTGCATTGAATTTAAAAGAAAGACAAATTCCTATGACCCTACAAATGGTAAAATATAGTCTTTCAAATTAAAAGGTTACTATCTCTAGTATATAATATCAAATATCTCTAGAAGAGTCAATATGCAAACCATTGTGATACAGTATAAAGTACTCAGATAGCCGAGACCACTTACATGTTATAATATCGATAACATTTTTCTAGAAAGTAATGGTTTTTCAGAATCTTCCAAGTTAGAACTATGCAATTAAAAGCATTAACATTAAATGAATAATTAGAAAATGAACTAGATAATTAAAATAACAAAACATTACTAGTAAGGCCTTCAAGTTACTTATTAGTTAGTAAGAGGAGACACTGAGTGTCTTTATTGTCGCTCCATAATGATTCTACAATATCAAAATGAATTTTACAGTAAACTTAGTTTTCAAACAGTGGAATTTAAGTCAGTCAAAAACATTTATTTAAAATTTATAAATACAGATTAACTCAATTTTTATTCCATTGACTTTTAAAATGTTCTCCATCCACTGTAAGCTCTAAAATTTCAAATTAAAATAACATGCTATTCCAACCTTGAGCTGAATTTTTTTCTGCAGCTCTTCCATAGCTTCTTGCTGAGCTGCTGTGAGTGCTGCCAACCGTTCTTCCCTGTCTCTGTCAGAACAAGTCAAATCTGTAAGTTTACCTGCTTGGAGCAACAAGTCTCATCTCATGAAACCAAAAAATATCATTTCAATGTAAGGCTTATATACTCTAACAGGAAATTATTTAAAAAATATCCTAAAAATATATTATGTCTCACACATATTGCCTCATAAATATTTGAGAAGTATTAAAGATTTGTTTCATATTACTGGTTTTTGGAGGTGGTTAAGCAACATAGATGATTAGCTATGAAAATAAATTTCTGAACCAAAACTGGCCTAGAACTATAAGTACAAAATGTTGAAAAGATAATTTATACTTTTCTCTCATAAAGTTTTATTAACATTACAAGAAAACAACAGGAAAGGCATAAACTGAGAAGCTAAGAGAACAGAAGAGGAAACCATGATGCACATTACTCCAGGAAATGGACCTAAGAAACAAACTCTTATAGTCATTTTAATATCTAACAAAATATACTTGAAACCAAAACTAATCAAAAGAGATGAGAAGGACACTAAATACACATCAACGGAAAAATCCAAGAGGACACTGCAATTCTTAATATCTCTGCCCCAATCACAAAGGCACACAAGTTCATAAAAGTACCATTAAACAGATTAAATCACATAGGGACCCCCCTCCCACCCCCACCCTCCACACACTGATAGGGAGGCTTTAACCTCACTCTCACCAACAGTCAATCCAGAGAAAAACAAAACAGTGATGCTGGAACTAATGGACATGATAAACCAAATGGACCTAACAGATATTTACACAACATTTCACCTAAATACCCTAACTGAACACCACAGATTCAAGCTGAGTATCAACAACAGAAAGCTTACAAATTCATGGAGACTAGACCACTCACTACCGAATGAAAAATAGGTCAAAGCAGAAACTCAGAAAGAAAGTAAAGACTTTCCAGAATTAAATAAAAATGAAAATACAACATACCCCAACTTGGAACACAATGAAGGTGTTGCTAAGAAGCAAGTTCATAGCACTAACAGCCTACCTAAAAATTGGAGATGTCATAGAGAGAGAGAGAGAGAGAGAGAGAGAGAGAGAGAGAGAGAGAGAGAGAGAGATCATATCCTAAAGAAGTAGACGGCAAGAAGCCAAGAAGCCAAAGCAGCAGCATTTAGAATGGGAAACATTTTCACCAACCACATGTCAGATGGAGGGCTAATATCAAAAATATATGAAAAACTTTTTTAAAAACTAAATATCAAGAAAACAAATAACCCAATTTAAAAATGGTATACAGATCTAAATAGAGAATTCTCAAAAGAAGAAACTCAATGGATGAGAAACAAATGTTCAACATTCTTATTAGGAAAATATAAATCAAAACAACTTTGAGATTTCATCTTACATCTGCCAAAATGGCTTAAATCAAGTAATAGCTCGCTCTTGTGAGAATGTGGAAGTGCAGACTTGTATAGCTACTATGGAAATCAGTGTGGTGGTCCCTAAGGAACATGGTAATCAAGATACCTTAAGATCCAGCTATACCACTCTCTGGCATATACCCAAAACTGAAGGATATACATTTCATCCTACCACAGAGACACTTCAATCATGCTCATTGCTGCTCTGTTCAAAATAGCCAGAAATCATAAACAACATATATGTCAATATTTCTTCATAAATGGTTAAAGAAAATGTGGTACATTTATACAACAGAGTACTCAGCCATATAGAAAAGAAAGAAAACAGGTGGGAGGAAAGAAGGAAGGAAGAAATGGAGGGGGGAGGGAGCAGGGGAGAGAAAGTGAGGGAGGGAGGGAAGGAGGGAAGGAGAGAGAGGGAGAGAGAGAGGGAGAGAGAGAGGGAGAGAGGCAGAGAGAGAGAGAGAGAGAGAGAGAGAGAGAGAGAGAGAGA